GCTGCTAAGAGTCCCTGAAAAAGGATACAGAACTATTAAACCAGATTTAGCCTGCAGTGCAGAGATCTGCCACTTTCTTCAGCTCAGCTTGTAGGATGCAGTGACCATGTTAAAAGACATTTCATTCAGTTCAGTCAGAAAGAAGATGTTTCTAGTTTGACGAATATACATATGGGCAAGGTGGTGGACACCCAAACATTACTCGACTGGAACGTCTGTCATATGTGACCATTGGCCATTCTAACATAAGGACATAAGATGAGCCTGCTAGATCAGGCCAATGGTCCGTCTAGTCCGGCCTCCTGCTATCACAGTAGCCAACCCGATGACTGCAGGAATCCCACCAGTAGGACCCAAGCACAAGAGCACTCCCGTCTCCTGTAGCTTTAAGCAACTGGAATTCAGAAAGATACTGCCTTCATCCATGGAGGCAGAGCGTAGCCATTATGGCTGGTAGGCAATATAGCCTTATCCTCTATGAATTTGTCTAATCCTCTTTTAAAGTTATGCTAGCTAGGGCTGATGGAAACAAGTCTCACAGTTTTTGGAAGGCCGCAGGTTTCCCATCTGTAATATGAGATCACTTTTGCAGACTGAATCCAAGATGCAACCCTATACTCAGCCAGAATATTGGTCCATCTAACTCTGCACTTTATGGAGACCAGTAGCTCACAAACTTCTCAAGTGGACCTCCCCCTAGTATCTGATATCTTATTAGCTGGAGATGCTAAAGATTGAACTAGATTTTTCCGCATGTAAATCATTTGTTCTAAAATGAAACTTTGGTTCCAATGGGACTATTGAGGGCTCATTGGGACCATAGACGTGACCAACAAGGTAGAAGGGAAACAGAAGGTTATGGGGGGGAAACCACATGATGAAGCTCAGGCCTTTGGAGTCCTCTTTGCTTCACCTCCTTCAGTTTTAAATGTCCAGTCTCCCTTTCCAATGTCCTATATTATCAGGGAACACAAAAGGTAGGTGAAGACCCTCTTTGCATAATAAGTACATAAATCAAACTTATGAAAGGTCATCTTTTTCTGACTGCAGGGACTGTACGTCAAAGGCTAGACAAAGAACTCAATCACAGCTGCAATGGGTTGGGATGGCATGCCTAAAGAACCATGTTTAATAGTCATATCCATGCACGGTCCAGCAAAACAGTATAAGGTGCTTGTGGGGGCACCCTTTAGGGTCCCATCTGCTTCCTGCTGAAGCCAACAACAATATACACAGTGAATTTTAAGCCAGTGTCTGGATGGGACTCAGAAAGCACATGGTTAGATGGGATCAAAAAGTCACATGTCACAGCTACACCAGAGTTGGACCCATTTACTTAATTTAACAAAGCCTTTCTACAGCCACACAGCTTTGCCCTACCTTTCATTCATTAAAGCCTGGCACCATTATCTGACTGCCTCTTGACCATTATTCTTTTGTGAAGAATTGAACTCTGCTTCAAATATTAATGGTATAATGAATTGAAATCATACTGCAATCTTATGCTTCCTTACTAGGTAGTCAACACCACTGAAATGAAACTAAAGCTGGACCTCAGGGCTGAAGCCCAAAGCTCCAAAGCTGAGGTAGCTCCACACTGACCACTCAGAAAGCAGTGGGTGATGGGGGAAAAGGCAAACAGGCCCAGCATCAGTGCCTGGGCTGGCATGGACATTCCAGGGCCCAACGAGACTCATTCTGGTCACCACCACATCCCTTCTTTCTTATTTCAAAAAAAAATTTAAAGTCAGAAGATGGCTGGCTGTGCACATATGTGGCTACAGAGACTCACTGTATCATTCTGACTTTAGAATATACTTGATTCTTTTCTGTCACAAAAAAATGTGCTTATAACAAGGTTAATGCATTTCTGTTTAGCATCCAGGGCAGCAGAAGCAACCTACATTTCATTCTTGTAGATATATATATATATATCAGGTTTGGCTAACCGCTTCAAGTTTCTTTGTTGCTCAGGTATACGGAAGCATGCAATGGTAGGGTGGACAAATAAAATAAATTTTGTGTGCTTCACAAACTGATGTAATACACAAGGACATCTAAAGCCTCGCTCCAGCATGCTGCCTGTCCGGGTCTAAAATCACCAAGCTGCATCACTGTTCACACTGCTCCTGCTGCTGCTGCTGCTGCTACTGCTAGTAGTGCTAGTAGTAGCAGATATATGTGCTTCCCTGTAGCCTAAACCTATTGCTGCTTGTCCTTTTCACTGGATGTGCTAACCAATTGCTCCCCTTGTTTCTTTGCCCTCTGCTTAATTACACCAAAATATTCCCACCATCACCACCTGTCAATTCGAAGTAGCAGTTCCTTCAAACTTTCATTCTGTACTTCATTTTCAAGACTATTTTCAAAAACCTTCTCACCCCATCTCCTTTGAGGTGTTGTAATCCCACAAAGGACTCCACCTAGGCTGCACATGGACTCATAAATACACACTCATGCACCTCACACGATTTCTCATTACTCAGTGAAGGAGAACTTCCCATGTAGGAAGTGAAATGAGTCCATTGAAAAGCGTGATGTTTGACACCATGTGACGTGTTTGTTCCTGACTGTCTGTGGTACGGGATTTGTGATGTCTTATTCACACATTGCCAGTCATCCCTTGAGGCGGCAGTCATCAAGTGATGACTGTGCATATGCAAACCTGCCCTGTGTTTGCCACTGAACAGGTGCAGCGTCCAGTGGTATTTCCCCTCCCCACCTTCTCCCAAAGGTGTCACTTTGGTTCAACAAGTGCCTGAAAATTGCTCACCAACCATCGCTCCCTGGCATTGGTGTGCATATATATCTTAGCAGTACAGACCAGAAAAACCACCTGTGCTATTAATTTCTGTAGGATGCTGCCTCCATGCGACCCATAGTTACAAGGCAGGTCTTCCTCTGTGTCATCCATTTAAGCAGAATATCCATCCTCTGAAGTGTGTGCGTTTCCTCCCAGCCCCCAGAGATCACACACGGGTTGTGTATCTCTGTTGTGTATTATTCAAGCAAGCAAGTCACGCACAGGGAAATGGGAGGGCAAAAGAGATAGGAGAATGTTTATTAATTAGGGTTCCCCCCCCCATCAGCCCAACACACCTACATTCACACATACACACATCAACCCACCCACCCCTTCTAAATAAATGGTCCTTCGATCTCCCTACTGAACCATTTCTCGGAAGAAGAAGAAATTGGGCAAAGGATGGTGGAGGAGCAGATTGCGTCAACGGCCACAAACCCGGACAAGCTTTCTGTAATTAGAAGGTGCATTAAAATTCCAGGCATGTTCCCTCCCCAGCCTAGGCTGGAGCGGGGAGGGAGGGGGATGAGGTAAATCCCTTACCCCCCAGCATCAGCAGCCCTAGGCAACCCTGAATGATCCTGGTCCTTCCTCCCCTTCACCCCTCCCTCCATGCAAATGGGGACTGAACCAGCTGCGAATCAAGACAATCAAGTGTTTCATAAAAAAGACCCAGCTCAATTTCGGGGGTGGGGAGAGGAGAGGAGAGGAGAAGAGAAGAGGGGGGAAAGCAAGCTCCTTTTCAACCGAAAAGAACAAGCCAAACTGTCCAGTGGGAATGGAAGACTCTAAACTGAAGATTCCTCAAACTCCCAAGGAGCCTCATCTCTCTCTCTCTCTCTCTCTCTCTCTCTGAGTGGGGGAGATGCATGCATTCCTTGCAAGAAGGATTTCCAAAGAAGAGATACACTATCTGCCTCTAGCCATGCAATGGTTGTATCAGGATCCCCCAATTTGAAAGCATGCCTCTCTCCAAAGTACCGATTCATCCATCCTAGTCTAATTTATGGGATGCCATTCTCCCTTCTCACGCCTAGCCCTTCTGCTACATCTCCCAAAAGCTTACCCCAAGAACCTTCTGCACCCCACCTCCATTCATTAAATCAAAATGAGGAGGGGGAAAGGCTAAATCTTTGCACTCCATGACAGATCTTGCCCACAAAGATGCTTTATGGTTTTGTTTTGTTTTTTAAATAATGAATAATAAAGCTGAGTCCTTCAAAACGCCAAGCTATAGTCATGGTTGGCTAAAGTCCTTCTGTCTTCCTTATCAATCTCTCTCTCAACTTTCCTTATGAAATGGGTCTTTATCGGCATTAAGGAAAAGAATCTCATTCAAGGCAAATAGGTACACATCTGTCTGTATGCTTCTCAGCCAAAATCTGTTTGTTTGTCTAGAAGGAAACCACATTTTTAAAAAAGAAGAAGAAGAAGGGAAAAAAGCAAGAACATCAAGTAATCTCCTTCACTCTGTATATTTGTCGCTCCCCCCCCCCTTTTCCTAAAAAATAGTCTCAAGGCAAAGGGAAAAAAAGAGGGGGAGAGGAATCCTCCAGCGGTAATTCTGTCGGAATATCCACTCGTTTAAGAGGCTGTAGGACCCAACTCACGTCTCTGATTGAGCATACTGCAAGAATATTTATTGGGCACCAGTTTCAGTCACTGCATTGAACGCCAGCCTTGGCAAGCAAATTGCATTTCCTATCGCAGATGAGGGAGCCTGGTATATATATATATATATATATATATATATATATATATATTTAAAAAACACCCCAACCCCCTCCTCCCTCCCCTCCTCCCTCACCTCGCTTTCTCCAGAGATCATTTATTTTGCAAAGCAGCAACATCAACCCCCAGCAAGAAAGCCACATTCATAAGACTAACCATCAGTGTAATCATGGGGAAACCTTGAGAAAGGACAAAGCTATAACCACACACACACAACACACACACACACACCTCCTTCTTGGCAAAAACACAGTTCTCTCTCCTCAAACCCCCCACCGACGATTATTTATATATTTCAATACCCCCTCTCTTCCCTTCACTGGGCGATCGATGGTGGTGATTGGCAAAAAGGGGGCTCCTTTCCTCCCCCCTTTTTTTTTTTTTTGCCCCGCGCCCCTTACCTTTCACACAGGAGAGCATCCAGAAAAAGACGAGGTTCCCCAAGGTAAATCCACTTTTAATCCCCATGATCTTGCCCCAGATGCACAAGTCCGGGCGGCTGCATCTCCTACATCCCCTTCGCCCCAGATCTGCGGCGGCGGCGGCTTGGCTCGGCCAGGTGGCCCCTTTGCAGCAGCAGCAGCAGACCCTTTGCATGTTCTTCTTCGGCGAGGAGCGGAGCGAGCTTCCTCCCCGGATCCGGAGCTGCCTGCCCGCTCGCCTTCGTCGCGCCCCCCTCCCTCCTTCTCTCCTTCCTCTTCTTCCTCCTCCTCCTCCTCCTCCCCTGCCTCGGTCCAAGGCGCAGTGGCGGAGTTTGCGCGGAGCTGTGTGAGTGTGTGTGTGTGTTGATGGTGCGCGGTCACAGCTCCGAGTGAACAGTGTTTCTGGGATACCACAGCAACCTTGACGAGGAGGACTCAACCATCTCTCCGACGGGGGCAGCGAGGCTCTCGGCGCAGGCGAGCTCGAGGGAAGGGGGCCTCCGCTCCTCGCCTGCCGCCAGCTCAGCTATGCTAGGCAGCCCGGGGCTGCCTGGAGCGCCTGGCCAACACTAGCCGCCCCCTTCTGCTGATAAAAAATAAAATAGCAATACAATATATATTATAAAAATCTCAGGAGCTGCGGCGCGCTTCGAAATCGACCAGGCGCGCCTCGAAATTGACCAGACGCGCGGGCTTTAGCCTCCAAACTCTCCACAGCCGCTCGGTGGCTATTGAGGCTCCGTTTCGTCTTTCCTCTCCTCCTCTCTCTCTCTCTCTCTCTCCCCGCTCTTTCAGATGATTTTTTTTTTAAAGGGAGAATGCTTGTTGATGTTTTTTGTTGTTTTGGCTTAGGGAAAAAAGCTGGTCGTCAGAAAGAATCATCTGGTTGTTGCTTTTCTATATATATATAAACCAAACCAAACCAAACCAAACCACAATAGTCCCGAGGAAACAAACAAGCAGGAGCTTAATTCAGCTGCTTCTCCATCTCTCTTTCCCTTTCTCTCTTTTTCGACAGCGAAGAGCAAGCAGGCGCCGGGGCTTTGCAGAAGGATGCCAGCCTCGCAAAGCGTTCGAGCCTGGTGGAAGCGCACGACGCGTAACTGCGCGAACGGCACGCGCGCATTCACACGCGCGCGCACACGTGCACACGAGCGGAAGAGCCAGCTCCTGTAGACACCTTTTCTTTCGCCCCACCCCCATTCACAAGCCCATATGTTGGTTGCTTTTGGAGTTTGCAGGTTCCTCCGGGAGACGTCGGGCATGGGGTTTTAAGAAACTGAGCGCAAAGAAGCCTCGCGGCGCGCAAACGGGCGCGCGGGACGAAGCGGCTCAGCGTGAATTACGCAGCGCGCAAACACACAAATAAAGCCTCGCGCCTCTTGGCTGCCCTTTCCCCACAAGGCTGCTTTTGCTTTCGGCTCCCTTATCTCCCCACACACCCGCATTTGCCCCTTTATTTCCACGCCCCCTTTCTCCACCTTCCAGAAAACTAGGTCCCAAGATCCGAGGAGCGGTAGTCTTAATTTTGCAAGTGGCCAACAAAATATGTAAATAGAGGGAAAGGAGAGAGAAGAGAGAGATTGTGGAAAGGATGGCGGGGCGGGGGGGGGGGTGGGACGGGCGGTTGGGGGGGACGGACTCGCAAAATGCAAAGCATCAGTCAAATTCGGCTCGCAAGGGTTAAAGATAGGCAGAGAAAGAGCACTTCTGCCATCTACCGGCTGACGAAGAACCACCGGCTTCTTTCTAGCATTTGTATGGCCGGGGATGCCTCTCTGAGCGGGTGCGGGTGGCGGGGGGGACGTGTGTTCACGCTACAGAGAAAGCAACATTTTATTTTATTGTATATCTTTTGCTGCGGTTATTTAACAATGATCAAGGTCTCTTTTGCATGCAAGCTGTCTCTCAGAGAGCACAATGAGTGAAAAGTGATTGCGGGAAGCCGATGTGTCCCGTGGTGGAAAATAAAAATAAAAACACACCTTCATGGCTCATGCGTCCTCCTTGACTTGCGCGACGAGCGATGAAATGGATCGTGAACAAGATAAAAGGAAACTGTGTGTACCTGAAAGAGAGCACAATGCTGTCTTCAGGGTTTGCTGACTGTTGTGCTTATTCGGCAGTCACTGTTCTTGGGCACAGAATGTAGGTCTACCTTGGTGCGTGAGATTTTGTATAGTATGTGAGAGGGAAACGTTCAGTAACAATCTGACAGCTGGGACCCACTGGACCTGTTGGGGCTACTGGAAGATCTGGAGTGCCAACTTAAATAAAACGGGGAAGCCCTGCCCACATAATCAATCACATAACACGACACACACACCATTTGAATGGCAATGCCCATCAACTTTGGGGGGCCCAGCCCCCTCGAATATTTCTATGGGAGAGGCCGAAGGTAATGTAAGGTAAAGTAAAAGACCCCTGGACGGTTAAGTCCAATCAAAGGTGACTATAAAGTTGCGGTGCTCATCTTGCTTTCAGGAGGAGGGAGCCAGTGTTTGTTCACAAACAGCTTTCCGGGTCATGTGGGCAGCATGACTAAATTACTTCTGTGGCAATGGAACACTGTGACAGAAACCAGAGAGCATGGACATGCTGTTTACCTTCCCGCCACAGTGGTACCTATTTATCTACTTGCACTTGCGTACTTTCAAACTGCTAGTTTGGCAGGAGCTGGGACAGAGCAACATGAGCTCACCCTGTCACGAGGATTCAAACCACCAACCTTTTGATCAGCAAGCCCATAGGGGGAGGTCATGGCACCCTGGTCAAGTTTTGGTTTTATCCTCATCTTCCTCCCTTGCAAAGAAACAGTACTGGGTGCAGTTTTACAAATAGTTAACAGCATCTATTGGGAGAACCAGTGTGGTGCACTAGTTAGGGCCTGGGAGACCAGGGTTCAAATCCCCATACAGCCATGAAGCTCACTGGGTGAGGTGGGGCCAGTCACTGACTCTCAGCCTCACCTGGTTGTTGTGGGTCTTAAATAAAGAGGGAGAGAACCATGTACACCACCTAGAGCTCCTTGAATGAAAAGTGGAATAGAAGCGCCATTATTGTTGGTAACCATCTGCTTGAGAAACAATGGAGTGCACCTCCAGGGGTGAAGTCAAACCACTGCATTAGCAGCAGCAAAGTGACCTTTTCTGGGTGCAGGACTATACAACATCATTTTTGTTTGGTCCATGTCCTAAACTCTAGATTAATCCTCTGCATCTGGGTTGATGAGATGATTCTGGCCTTTTATTATATGTTATCAGGGCTTATAGAAGATTTTACACACACACAGTATATACATTATACATGAACAACTTTTGTAGCAGTAGCATTTTGGAGCTGACTGATTTATGTAGTTTATTTGGTGTCAGAAAGCTACTGTATTTATTTAATTGGTCAAAACTTGTATTTTTATTCTTTTTATTGTGTGGCCTTATGAAAGAAGGGTGCATATAAATTTATCAAGAGTTTGTCATTTGATTGCAAGACATTAATAAAATAAACTAAATATTTTTTCTTTCATTCTATTTGTCTGTCGGTGTAGCCTTGAGTATATGCATCACGTGACATTTGAACATTTCTCATATTCTTGCTTTTCTCCAGCAATCTTTGCTTATGAGATTTTGGGTGCAAATTCTGGCACGAAGCATCTTTCTACAACACTTGGCAGATGCATTTGTTGTCATTTTGCTTTTGGCATGACCAAAAAGCCTATTGATCCCCTGGGTACAGGTCAAGGATACAAATGACTTGGCAAGGGCCATTAAGTCAATCACCATGATTAAATACTCTCCAGAGTTTTAAATAAAGGTTGAGATGACAAATGGACAGCTACTTAAAAACCCAACTTGTCAGGGTCTTGATTATTAAGGATAGCAATAGAAAATGAAGAGGTGTGACAATGAGCTCTCTTGATGACTGTGCTGTTTCAAGCTTTGGACTTCACAAGTCTCCCCATCAGGCCAGAAGTGGGTTGGGCCAGCTCATCTGCTCATGAGGTGACTCATGAGGCATTCACTCATCTCTTTGCTGGTAGACATCAAGAAGGACTGGGAATGGTGTTTCAAGGCAAAAAGGTCCAACATGATAAGTTATGATTCTGATCATTTAAGCGTCTCTATCTATGTGCAGGAACCAAGCTCGATGTCAGAATACAGGCAAGTGATAGTGCTATCTCTCAAAACCAGCAGGAAGCTCTGACTGAGGGCCAAATGTGTGTGTTCATTGTACAGAATATGTCATAGTGTGTACATGGTGCAATTTTGATTCACCAACCTCTGCTGAGCCCAGGAGATACTATGTTATCTGCTAGGATTATACTGCAGCTCTTCTGGAACCAGATGTTGCTAAGACTTTTCTTCAAAGTCTTATTTGTATGACATTTTAGAAGCTCTTGTGACAAAAGTTCTCAGGTCCTAAACATTATATTCAAAGATGGAATTTCCTCAGAAGCTAGACAGTATTTTGAGATATAGCATTGTGTTAGTCTGCAAAAACTTGGGTGTTGTTCTCTGTGCCTATTCCAGCTTCCTTTCCATTTGTTTGCCACCTCCCCCATTCTAGCTAGTACTCAGATTGTCTTGGAAAGTTGCTTCAGTTGTCAAAGGGCTTGCCTTTGTGATTCAAGGACCCGCCACCAGCTTGTGGATAAGAAAGACACATGGACACGGTATATATGGTTAATGGGCTAAAAAAGGCCACAACTTTATTGATTACAGCATGTGAGAGGTATTGGCTTAGGCACTGGATAAACCACAGCAAGTGACTCCACCCCCTCAAGGAGGGGTGAGTCTATCAAGGGTTAACCACCAGTGGGAGGAGCCCGTTGATGCAAATACAACTGAAAGCTCCCCCTGATGTCACCAGGGGTCATGCCATGGCCCTAGCCACTAGCAAGGGTGTCGGACAGGATTCACGACCGCCGGATTCCTTTACCGGAATACCCATAAAGAGGAGGGGTAGGCGATGGCCACACCCTGCCCTCCAATACACAAACACATTCCAATGCCTAACCGCCAATACCCAAAAGTTGTGACGATTTGCTACGAGGTAGGCGAAAAACCAAGTGGCCGGTGCCAATTTGCCAGTTGGATAAAAATTCCTACCAGGCCCCTTGGCCAACCAAGGTGACCAACCACAGGTCTATGGCAATGTCAAGAACCAAGCAATGAACTCGTGGGAGGGAGGGTGGGTGATCTGACAAAAGGCAGCAGCACAATGGATGGGAAGCGCTGCCGCGGCCGTGTTTGAGCAGCAAAACCCCGCCCCCAAGCCTCCACCTGGTTGGTTGGCTACCTGGGGGCATGGCGCAGCAGTCGGGATGGCTGGGCAGGGGCCAAAACGCCCCCTGCCAACGCAGGAAATGGCTCCTGCTCACAATTCCTCCCCTCTGCAAGGAGGAGAGGCTTTCTCCAAAGGAACAGAAAAGACTCTTTATGTATGTGACAATAGCAACACAGATGTTACTAGCCAAGAGATGGAAAGAAGAGTCCCTACCAGAGAGGAATGGCAAGCTAAGCTGTTAGACTATTATGAAATGGCAAAACTGACTGGAAAACTTATTGACCAAGAAGACAAGAAATTCAAGAAGGAATGGGAAAAGTTTATGATTTATTTAGGAGACCACCGCAAGCAAATGAAAACATTAGCAGGATTTTAATCTCACTTGTAATGTAACAAATAGTATGGACAATATGGATAGACATAAAATATAGATTACAAAATAATACGCAGTTTAAAATGTTGACAACATGACCCCTGGAGGGGATGAGAGGAAGTCCCGAGATTCAGAGTAATCTCTCTACATGGATGTGTATTTGGTATGCTTATTAATTTATATTTCTAAAATCAAATAAAAATGATTTGTGAAAAAAGAGAGCTTGCCTTTCTATCATAAAAGCTTTAGAGCAAAGATCCTGGAAGTCCCTTTTCCTCCAGCAAGAAAATTCATACACATTCCTCAGTATTGCATCAAGCCATGTCAAAGGCCTAATTACACCAAGAAATGTAAATAATGTCCAGCAGACTCTTCTATGTGGGGAGGAGTGGTGGAAAAAAGAGCATGGATATTCAGGAAAGACTGGGGTGGGGAAAATCTCTCTCTCTCTCTCTCTCTCTTTCACACACACACACACACCACACACTGTTGCCCTAGGGACTGTGGGTGGGTGGGGGTCAATTTCTCCCTAGGAGAGAGAAAGTTATCTTATCATTGACTTGCATATTTTAACAGAACTAAAGGGACACTTCCAAATCTGATCTGAATCTGAGATTTTCACAATGTTTTGCCAGGTTTGATCTGCATCCACCAATGTCTAATCGTTTTCTAAACTCCAAGTCAGCATCTATGGAACTAACATAGAAACACCTTAATGGGAACAGAAGGTTTTTAGATAATGCCACTGGAACACGCAACATGATGTTTTCCTGTTCAGGTTTCATCTTGTGAGCCTGATGGCAGGGCCTTTCTCTTTCATTCTCTTTTAACTGATGTGCACCTCATGGGGAAGTGTGACAAGTGGAGTAAAAGTTACAGATAGGTAGCCGTGTTGGTCTGCCATAGTCAAAATAAAAAAAATCCTTCCAGTAGCACCTTTAAGACCAACTAAGTTAGTTCTGGTATGAGCTAGTGTGCAAACACTTCTTCAGATACACTGAATCTGTATTCAGTGTATCTGAAGAAGTGTGCTTGCACACGAAAGCTCATACCAAGAACTAACTTAGTTGGTCTTAAAGGTGCTACTGGAAGGATTTTTTTTATTAAGTGGAGTAAAAGTACAGTAACTAAATAAAATAAATAAGCATACCTACATGCAAGTTATTTCATATCAAGTGATTAGTGTGGCCTCTTCCGAGTAAATGTGTTTATGATTGAGATGTAAATTTGCTCTGTGGTGCTTGCTAGCAAATTGGAAGGTGGTTGTTTAGAAGATTTTTTTGTTTGGAAGTGTGTGTGTGTGTGTGTGTGTGTGTGTGTTTGACTGTTGGATCACAATCTACTTCTGCTTGTCCACCAGAGAACTGCTGAATCCATTTATTCTTGGCAACCAACACCTGACCTTTCTGATTGATTCACTATTAATACTTCCCATTATCATAATTACCCATGTCTTTGTCACCTTCCTATTGGAATATTATGATGAACGCTATGCCACACCATCTGTGGAAAGTTACTTGCAGATATTCAAAAAACTATTAAAGATGTACTTGGTACTCTGAAGCTTGGTTATCCAAATAGAGTTTCATTGTCTGTCCTGGGTTTAGATCACAGTAGATGCATTTTCTCAGTGTCTGAAACCTAGTGGCAAACAGGGACAGGGGTTAAACTTGAGCATGGGCAAATAAAACTTATTTGGGAGTTGATGCAGGGGTTACCAGGAAGGAAAGAGCTTAGAACAGTATCCCCCAACCTGGTGCCCTCCAATAAAACTTTGTTTACTATTGTCCATTCCAGCTGGGCATGATGGGAGCTGTATTCTAGAATGTGGCAGGTAGACAGGTGACTAGGAGCGGCCGCCGGGACCATATACTAACACCGGTCCTGAAAGACCTACATTGGCACCCAGTACATTTCCAAGCACAATTCAAAGTATTGGTGATGACCTTTAAAGCCCTAAATGGCCTTGGCTCTTTATACCTGAAGGAGCATCTCCACCCCCAACATTCAGTCTAGACGCTGAGGTCTAACACTGAGGGCCTTCTGGAAGTTCCCTCACTGCAAGAAGCGAAGTTACAGGAACCAGGCAGAGGGCCTTCTCAGTAGTGGCGCCCACCCTATTGAACACCTTCCCATCAGATGTCAAGGAGATAAGTAACTCTACAACTTTTAGAAGACATCTGAAGGCAGTCCTGTATAGGGAAGCTTTTAATGTTTAATGTTTCATCACGATTTTGCATCTGCTGGAAACCTCCCAGAGTGGCTGGGGCAATTTAGTCAGATGGGTTTGGGAGGACTTTTCCTGCTGAAGTTTCTAACAGGCTCCTGGCATGACCAGCCAAACAGATCTTCAATAGATGGGCATCCCTGCCTCAGAAGATGCTTAGCTCTCACCAGCTGCAGCAAATAGCAGTGTGCAATTTAGGTCAGTGGCCTGACACAGTGTAAGCAGCTTCATGTGTTTGTATTGGGGAAAGCAAAGAGCTAGAAAAGGCAGCATTTTAAACATCTGTAAGCAAGGGAATGAAAGAAACCTTGAGTGTGTTTGGTTGGTTGGTTGTTTCAGGCCTTGTACACAGCTATTTCACTGTGCTGAGCACCTGCATTTCAATGGTGTTTTGCTGCACCGGTACAACAGCAAATTACAACAACCCAAGGGCTCTTTCATCTGCTCAGTCTTGGGCACTTTTCTTGTGCCTTGAGAAAATGAAGTAAGGAAATAAATACCGTATTTTTTGCACCATAACACTCACTTTTTTCCTCCTAGAAAGTAAGGGGAAATGGCTGTGCGTGTTATGGAGGGAATGCCTATGGGTGGCATGCCTACAGATTTTCCTCCTCTAAAAGCTACGTGCGTGTTATGGTTGGGTGTGTGTTATAGAGCGAAAAATACGGTAGTTGATTGCTCTATAGGGGTATAAAATACCCATGAGAAATTAAACTTTTTTTAAAAAAAAGTCATTTGGTATCTTTGTAAAGACCTTTCACACACTTTCAGAAGATAAGGTGTGTACCTCAAATGTCAACTGTGGATATGGCAAACAGCAGTTCCCTGGAAGCACACCTGTCAACGGTGCAAACTTGACAAATGCAAATTTGCTGTTGGGCAATGAACAACTTCTGTTTCCAGTTAATGACATTAGGAGCTTTTCTCAGAGGGCCAGAAAGGCAGGGTAGGGACATTGGCTTTTTTTCAGTGTCTCAAAATCCCATTGTGCATTGATATCCCAAAATTTGTTATTTGTTGTTTAGTCATGTCTGACTCTTCATGACCCCATGGACCAGAGCATGCCAGACATCCCTGTCCTCCACCGCCTCCCGTAGCTTGGTCAAACTCATGCTGGTAGCCTCGAGAACACCATCCAACCATCTCGTCCTCTGTCATCCCCTTCTCCTTGTGCCCTCCATCTTTCCCAACATCAGGGTCTTTTCCAGGGAGTTATCTCTTCTCATGAGGTGACCAAAGTATTGGAGTCTTAGCTTCACGATCAGTCTTTCCAGTGAGCACTCTGGGCTGATTTCCTTAAGAATGGATATGTTTGATCTTCTTGCAGTCCATGGGACTCTCAAGAGTCTCCTCCAGCACCATAATTCAAAAGCATCAATTCTTCCGAGATCAGCCTTCTTTATGGACCAGCTCTCACTTCCATACATCACTACTGGGAAAACCATAACTTTAACTATATGGACCTTTGTTGGCAAGGTGATGTCTCTGCTTTTATAGGCTTTTAAAAATAAAAAGAATCATTTTTATTTGCAGGTACATGTTCTAGTTTACCTGTTGTAGAAGTTTAGCTGTTAAATTACAGGTCTTTTGTGAAACCTTGAAGCCAACCCATCAGGCTATTGTGCATTTCCGTCTACTACCTTTGTTTAAGTTCTCTTAGCAATATATATTCAGATTGGCAATCTCTCAAGGGAAGGGATGCAAATCTCAAGCTTAGGGGTCTTAAGCACATACTCCCTTCTTCATCCTGCTTGCATCCATCTTGGATAGTTTTGCCCAACTAGAATGTGACCTTGAACTCTGGTAACGATTCTTGCTTGTCTGGATATATGACAGAGAGGAGTGTGGGTGGGTGGGTGTCGAAGCCAGCCTAGATATAAATTCACATTTCTTGGTTTGTCCACTTCTGCCTTTGGCCCTGCTTTCCAGTGCTATGTGGCCCCTGGAAAGTTGCCCAGAAGGGAATGTAGCCTCAGAATGAAAAAGATTCACCAGCTCCAGGGGAGTTCACACAATCCCCTCAACATGTTGAAAGAACAGGTAGAGAAGGTCGCACCACACATCACACTCCTCCAGGGCCAAGGTACCTCTGTATAATGTGAATAAACAAACTTTGCTAACATGCACTTTTAATAGAGTGGCACAGGGAGAGAAAAAAACACCATGCCATATGAGATGCTTCTTTGATCAGCTGAAGTTCCTGCTTGCCAATTGCCTCCTGAAGTCTGAGATACTCTGATACCCAGTCCTTTTGCAGATTGCTGGGGTCAGAGATGGAAGCAAGCTGGTGTTGCCATCTGCTTTCATTCTCCTCAATGCTTCTCCCAATTTTGGCCTGGGTCTTTCATAATTCATTAATGGAAGGTGAAGGAGGCATAGGGACTCTCGCTGTTATCCAACAGTATGCCTTAATAGCTTTCTTTTCTTGGAACTCAGCAGTACATTGTTTCTCAGAGAGTGCTTTGAATGATGGGCAAATTAGAGACATAATGAATCATTTTCTAAGTACGTGTTTTTATAATTTTTATATATTTTGCTTCACGCGTATCATGTAAGCATTTGAGAAAACAAGGGTTGCAAAAGGATGTGGTTGAAATTGAGTTACCACACACATATAATGTTTTTTTAGACAGCATCTTGAATTGTTTAAATATTCATGTTTATTTGGCTTAGAAACGGGAGTCCCAAGGAATGAATGGAACTCCCATCAGTTATGTGCTTTGAGATTTGAGCCCTGTTGACATGTTACCCATGTGTAGGGCGTAAACATGTAAAATGTGGGGGATTGGGGTTGCACTTTTAGGCTCACCCCTAAAGGCACATCTTCTTTCAACAACTGCATTTTGTGCATGGTTGCCAGTTAAAAAAGGAGACAGGAGTTTCCTGTTGCTGTTCTCTTCCTTTGAGAGACCGGCAAAGTTCTTAACTAACTTCCCAGCTAGTTTGTCCTCTAAGCCTTCCATGACAAACACCAACTCCTAGAGAAATTGCATATAAAGTGAGGATGCTCTCAGCCCCAAAGTCTGCACTGAAAGACCCCCACCTCAACTTCAAGGAGGAAAGAGAAAGTGATTTGTAGAGGCTAACTTGAAGCTATACAAACACCACAGATAACCAGTTAGAATACCAAATGACAACCAGGGTGATGGGTTCAAATCATCATATGTCCTTGGGGAAACTTCTATATGTCACTTCACATAACCAGCCTTGCAGAGCTGTTGTGATAGATAAATCAAGTTGATCTATGTATATACCCTACTGCCCTGTAATTCAGTATATACTATATTTGGTCAATAAGACCCTCTTCTTTCTATCAATATTTTCCTTTTTTCTGGATGTTTTCCTTCTGTCACATTTCCCTCTATGTATATACACACACACATGCACAAAATGTAAAAAGCCCTCTTTTTAACAACAGTCAGATGTACTTCTGGTTTGAGCCTGGTTTCTGTCACTATAGATTTTTGTAACCATTATAAGAATGAAATGAAAACAGGCTACAATCTTGAGTCCCATTGTTGAATGGTGAGGTATCCAGATCTCTGTTTCTCTGCCTTTTTAAAGAAGATGATCCCACTCAAGAGAAAATAGTCTCTGTTGTGACATCCAAATGGCCTCTGGCAAAAACGATGTCAGAGAAACAATAAAGTGGCATGAAAACTTATTTTCTCCCCTAAATGATGAATCAGTTTATATTCAAATGGAATTAATCACGAAAATACGGGAAACGAAAGCAGCTACAAGGATGCTTGCAGCCCAGAACTGCAGAGTGCCAGTTCAAATACATCTGACAATCCACTTCAGTTATGCTGGTATAACCCTAGGATTCTCAGCTGGTTTTATACA